TGCTCCAATTTCCCTGACAGATTTGAGTGGAGAATACGTAGAGCAACAACCTTCAGCTTGCTTGAAATGAGATTTAGATTTCCTTTATAATGTGTTTGTTTTGTGGGTGCCTATACTTGGCTTGATGCTCACATCTGGCCATATCACTTGGAAAGAAAGGCCTATTAGTAGTTAATGAATTAAGAATTAAACTCAGATCCCCCTTTTGGATGGGAGGCAACCTCCCACATGCTGAACATGGCATGCACCTTCCGAGAGTGCACCTGGCCTATGGAGACACTTGCTCTCAGTCTTGCCACTTCCTGTTATTAAACTACCCTATTGGGACATCTAACCTGCCAGCCTACCCTCCAGACTGAATTCATGTCCTATGACTTTATGAAACCAGGTCATTTTCTATTGCAATTTAACTGATAAGGGACACAATCACTTTAAGATCTCTGCTGACCGTTATTATCATTCTCCCCTGTAAAATGAAATACAACTTTGTTCATTCTCATTCATAGGTACATGAGGTCGTATAACTCATTTATGGTCAATGGAATATGTGTAAAATAGTGCCCAAACTTCCAGGTCATGCCCCTAATGGGAACAAGATTTCCTTCCATTCCTGCTGGCTTGAAAACAGATAAGATGCCTGGACCTCATGATAGAAGTACACATTCAGGATGGTGGAGCAACACGATTGAAAGATCTTGTGTTCCTGACATCGCAGAGTTCATACGCCCAGGAACTCTGGCTTGCTTATGTCCATACTCTGTACAACTACTGATATTTTGGGTCTGCTATAAGAGATATCTCTATATCCTAACAAATGTAACCTCTTTGAATACAGAGTCAAACCTGGTTGCTAAAGGGGTGATAAAGGAAATCAAACAGGTACAACAAATAATTAACCTCATTATGATAAAACATTCATGTAAAGAGAAAATGGAAGAAGTGATTTCACATTTATAAAAACTAACAGCCTTTTATTATAAACAGCAGAAAGGAAATTGATACTTCATGGAGATCAAAGCAAATGAGTGATTCAACAATTTAGCAGAAGAGTTATCTCCAAAGCAAGCTATGGAAGAACATGCCAGAATAAATATGTGCGAAGGTCCAGTATCCATAGCTGGAATTCAGTGGCAAGTTGCTGGAGAAGATTGAGGATGTCAAGTTAAGAAAAATTCCAGAATAGTTGCATTAATATAGGAATTAGACATTATTGTGGAGAACTATATACATAGACCTTAGCTGTTTATTTGAAAGAAAAAAAGACTGCTGTACAGTATCATCTTTGATTTTAACATAATCACTGTAAATTTCGTTTCAATTAGTTTTAAAAAATGTATTGTACAAAAAGTAAATATGGCTATATATTTGTGGGCTGAACAAAACAGAGAGTTCAAAGAGCCATCTTGCAAATCAGAAAAAGCACAGGCCTTCATTATAGTCTTGTTACTATAGCATCCTCCCTTCCTCAGTCAATATTACTACAACACTCTTCCTTCCTTAGTCAAAGAAAATTTACTGAGCATCTACTATATCTCTACTTCTACTTTGCCTCCATGAAGTTATAAAACTCTAAGGTATGGATCCTAAGCTCAAATAACTTATTATTTAACACCAAAGAACCATTAAGTACTAAATACCATGTGAATAAATGTTACAGAAATTCAAAGAAAGGAGAGATGAGTACCAAAAGGAGCTGTTGAAGGCAAATAATAATCATAATAATAATAATCTGAGACTATGTACATGCTAGGCCATAAAATGAAGTTTGAAAGAGACAGGAATAAGGGAAGTAAATAAGGAGGTATTCCAATTGCAGTTAGCACATGGTCAAAGTGTTGGGAAGTAGGAGTGAAAATGAGAACTGCCTGACTGGAACCTATCTCAGTGAGTGGAGTGGGATTTGCTGTATGCTGAATGTGTAAGTGAATAAATTTTCCCAGGTTGAAATAGTAACAAAAAACTAATAAAGTAAGAGCTTTATGACAGTCTTATACTTGTGCTCATACTTTTTAAATCCACTGCATCATTCACTATTCTCATATTCCAAAACCGTTCAATTTTCTTAGCTATCAATTTCCTTAAAAATTATTCTCTGATTATAAAAGAATACACAGGAATTACAGAAAATTTGTAAAAATTAACTATAACCACCAAAAAAAAATTCCAGCCTTTTTCCTATTCATGGATATATACATATTGAACTTACTGTTTTTACCTGTTCTACTTTATATCAATTAATTTTCACTATTCTTCTATAAGATTTTTTTTTTGAGGAAGATTGGCCCTGAGCTAACATCTGTTGCCAATCTTCCTCTTTTTTTTTTCTCTTCAAAGCCCCAGTACATAGTTGTATATCCTAGTTGTAGGTCCTTTTAGTTCTTCTACGTGGGATGCCACCTCAGCATGGCTTGATGAGCGGTGAGTAGGTCTGCACTCAGGATCTGAACCGGTGAACCCCAGGCCGCTGAAGTGGAGTGTGTGAACTTAACTGCTACACCACTGGGCCAGCCCCTGTAAGATTATTTTTTTAATTGCATAATATTTCAGATTTAACCAATTCCCCATTGTGTGACACAAATTGGTTGTTTCTAGCTTTTCATCCATGTAACAAAGTTAAAATAGAAATCCTTGGTGATAAATCTGTGTGCACATCAATGACTGCTTCCTTAGAATACATTTCTAGAAGTGAATTCCACTTAGGTTAACCAACCCAACTAGGTTACCCAACATATATATTCCTAAGTCTCATGCTACATACAGTCAAACTGCCTCCAGAAATATTATACCAATAAACACGGTATTCAAGGTAGGGTTAGAGTACTCATACCTCAAAATTGAAGAGCATTGTATTTTTTGTACTTTGTCAATTTGTTGAAACAAAAAAAAAATGTATAAATAATTGTTCTAAACTACAATTTTCTGAGAACAAATGAGGCTATTTTTTCACATTTTACTGGTTACTTGTATTTCTTCTTTTGTGTCATATCCTTGACTTGTTTTCCTTTAGGGATTTTTTTATTATTTCATAAAATGTCATATATTATAGATACCATTTTTCCATCATATATATCACCAAAAAAGTTCTTTTCCCAATGTGTCATTTGTTTTTTTAATTTTTGAGGTATTCTCAAACATAAATTTTAGCCTTTATTTTTTTTTTGGTAGTGATAACTATCGTTTCTTGTGAATATTTTAGAAAGCTTCCACAACTCAAGCGCATTTTATTTATCTATATATATGTTTCTCTCAGTTTCATTTTTACATGTGATCTTTAATCCACTTGGGAAATTTATTTATTATGTTACCTACTTGTCCGAAAACAGTTATTTAGTTATCCAACCACTCCTAATTTGGAATTTCATAAGCTAAATTCTTTTATGTACTCGGCCTGTTTCAGAGTCTTTTCTTCTGCTTTATTAATCAATTGTTTCTGCAACCCCCTCCCTCAAGCTTTGTTATATTTTGGAAATATTTTGCCCATTCTCATCCCTTTTTTCATATTAAATTTAGAATAACCTTAAATTAAATTTGCTAATTTATTCATTCATCTTCTATAAGTACATGATAGATTCTTCATGTATTGATTAAATTTTTGTTGCTATTAAAATTTTTTAATGATTTTTTTGGCCTTCCATATTTCTTACTAAATTGATTCCTAAATATTTATATTTCTATAGCTGTTATGAATATGTTTTCCATTACAGTTTCAGATGAATTATTGTTAGTATAGTATATGTGTGTTTGTAGAACTACCAACTTTATATATATATTTATTTTTTTACTACTCACAAAATTGTGTGAATGTGTCCTACATATTTCTGGAGAGAAAGTCTATGACTTTCATAAGTTCTTAGAAGGATACATACATTCAGAAAAGCTTAAACCACTTCCTTAAGTCTGAGTATTCTCAAAGCTTGTGCAGCAAGTCCATAACAATTTACCCTTATGTGTGAATAATCTTCTTGGACAACAAAATGAACCCTAGACTCAGTAAGTCTGGATTAGTCTTCAAGACCATACACTGCATAAGTTCCACAAGTGGCTTTTTTCTGTCTCTAGGTGGTCAAAAAAATCACAGGCTTCTGACATAAATCTTCATATTTTCAGGCCATTGTCTCTGTAATCACAAGAAAAAGTCAGACAACAGAACAACAGACTTTTCTAGATGTACTGGATCTCAAAATTTATTCTCATTCACATGGCCTTCACATTTAGTTGTGGAAATAACAAACTTTCCAATTTCATCTTTTCTTGGTAACCTGCCCAAGACATGTTTTCTAGTTGTTTTTCATCTGGAACGTGACAGCAATCATATTCAACTTAGTAGAGAAAGTTTATACTGCAAGATTAAGTTTGGATAGATTCTAGGTAATCTAGATTTTACCTATCAACAATTCAATTCATTCTTGTCTGAGGTTTTTATCTAACACCATATTCTTTCTCTTTTTCTCCCCAAAGCCCCAGTGCATGGTTGTATATCCTAGATCTAAGTGTTTCTAGTTCTTCTATGTGATCCACCACCACAACATGGCAACTGACAGATGGGTGGTGTGGTTCCACGACTGAGAAATGAATCCAGGCTGCCAAAGCAGTGAGAGGGTTGAACTTTAACCACTAGACTATCAGGGTTGGCTCTAACACCACATTCTCAATCAAGAAAAGATCCCAACCTTCCTACTGCAATAATTCATAGAATTTATATTACTTCATCTCTCAATTTTCTTCAATATTCACAATATGTTGGATTTTGGAGAACCAATGCAAGGGTAATAAATAGCATGTATAGCATGTGGTCTATATTTTTATTGAACCTTTAATGACTACTACATCCTCACATTGTGAATCACACCTGATATATAATAAATAAGTCACAAATTAAGAACCACATCTATAAAAGCATGCATTAGTAATAAATAAAATAAATGTAAATATTAAAGATCAACTAATCAGAACTTCCAATTTTTCAGGTGAGTAAATTAAGGCCTAAAGAGGTAAAGTAACAGACCTAGTTAGTAAGTGAGCTGAGATTAGAATCCAGGACTTCTAAAACTCAGAAATGTGCTCTTTCCACTAAACCATGTGGCCACTCTAGGTAGCTGACAGTTTTCAAGATCCTCCTTCTGTTTCCCTGGGAAGGGTCTCCATACTAGCCAAACTTCCAAGGTATTCAGAGGATTTCTTTCCAGTGTGAGGTTTTTCATGTTGAACAGAAGAGTTTTGTCTAAAGGTTTTCCTACATTCAGTATGCCTATTTGCTTTCTCTCCACTATGAATTTTCTGGTGTTTTGTAAGATATGTGCTCTGGCTAAAGGCTTTCCCACATTCATTACATTTGTAGAGTTTCTCCTCAGTATGAGTTTTCTGATGTTTTTTAAGGTCTGTCCTCCGGCTGAAGGCTTTGCCACATTTATTGCATTCAAAAGGTTTCTCTCCAGTATGAATGACCTGATGTTGAATAAGGCCTGAGCAGTAACTAAAAGCTTTTCCACATTCATTACATTTATAGGACTTTTCACTAGTATGAGTTTTCTGGTGATTTGTGAGGTTTGTACTCTGACTGAAGGCTTTTCCACATACATTACATTTATAGGGCTTTTCTCCAGTGTGAGTTCTCTGATGTTGAATAAGTGCTGACCGGTCACTGAAGGCTTTTCCACAGTCATTGCATTTATAAGGCTTCTCTCCAGTATGAATTCTCTTATGCTGAATAAGAGCTGAACAAAAACTGAAGGCTCTCCCACAATCATTGCATTCATAGGGCTTCTCTCCAGAGTGAGTTCTCTGATGCTGAACATGCCCTGAGCGGTCACTAAAAGCTTTCCCACATTCACTACATTTGTAGGGTTTTTCTCCAGTATGAACTCTCATGTGCTGAGTAAGGAATGAACTCTGGGTGAAACTTTTCTCACATTCATTACATTTATATGGTTTCTCTCCTGTATGACTTCTCTGATGTTGAGTAAGGTAAGTACTTCTGCTGAAGGCTTTTCCACATTCCTTACATCCATAGGGTTTCTCTCCAGTATGAACTCTTTGATGTCGAATAAGAGCTGAGTAGTTGCCAAAGGCTTTCCCACATTCATTACACTCATAGGGCTTCTCTCCAGTATGAGTTCTTTGATGCTGAATAAGGGCTGAACAATCACTAAAGGCATTCCCACATTCATTGCATTTGTATGGTTTCTCTCCAGTATGCATCCTCTGATGTTGAATGAGGTCTGAACAGTAACTGAAAGCTTTCCCACAGTCATTACATTCGTAAGGTTTCTCCGCAGTATGGAAAATATGATGTCGAATAAGAGCTGAGTGATCACTGAAGGCTTTCCCACATTCATTACATTCATAGGGCTTTTCTCCTGTATGAATTCTTTGATGTTGAGTAAGATGTGCACTCTGACTAAAGGTTTTGCCACATTCGTTGCATTCATAAGGTTTCTCTCCAGTATGAATTCTCTGATGTAGAGTAAGATGTGTGCTCTGACTAAAAGCCTTTCCACATTCAAGACATTTATAGGGTTTCTCACCAGTGTGAATTCTTTGATGCTGAGTAAGGTATGTACTCCGACTGAATGTCTTGCCACATTCAGTACACTCATAAGGTCTCTCCCCACTATGAATTCTCTGATGTTGAATAAGAACTGAGCAATAACTGAAGGCCTTCCCACATTCATTGCATTTGTAGGACTTTTCTCCTGTATGAGTCTTCTGATGGTTTGTTAAGTGGGAACTCTGGTTAAAGCCCTTTCCACATTCATTACATTTATAGGGTCGCTCTCCAGTATGACAACTTTGATGTTGAACAAGAGTAGTGTGGTCTCTGAAGGTTCTCCCACATTCACTACATTTACAAAGTTTCTTTCCATCACACTTCCTTTGTATAATTAAATCTGAGTTTTGTTTGAAGATTTTTCCATGTGTACCATATTCATGACAACACTCTTCTATAGGATCACTCTGTTCTGAAACAACTATGGATCTTACACTGAAACCTTTTCCAAATTCATTAGATTCTATATTTCTTTCTTTGGCAGGAATTTCCATGCAGGTGACTATATCTTGTCCCAGATAATTCTCCTGGTTTAGGTGCTGATTCTTAAACTGGCCTCTAGATTTCCAGGTTTCTCCCAAAATAGACTTTCTCTTTTTAAGTGCTTCCATCTTTATCCTTTGGAACGAACCTTCTTTGAAAATATTCTGCTGCTCTACTGTTGATTTGTTGGCTTTAGGTCCAGACTTCCCATCTAAAAGACAGAAAAATACAAATCTACTATGTGTCCACTGCTGGGAGAAAAGAAGCTGCTATATTAGGAATGAGATAATGAAATCACAAATACTGAGAACATACAATACTTGTAATATAAATATGGCCTATTAATCTAGGGAGGGGTTAGCTGGAAATGCTAATGGTGTGAAAGGGTCTGATTCAAGACATAATGTAATCAAAAGGAATGAAGCAGACACTCTGTCAGTTGAGAAGAATGATTAGGGAAAAGGCTAAATTGTAGAGATTAGAAAAGAGAAAAACATAAACATAAGCAGGGATTAAGAAAGAAAAACTGTCATCAAAGAGAGATGGTCTTTTGGGAGTCTCCTGTGAGAAAACTACTTAATCAACACTTAAACTATTATCTAAAAGCCTATTAACAGCTCTTTAAATGTATTTTAAATAAACTTTTGTATTAGATTTGGTTTTTTGACTTACACAAAGAATACTTTTACCTAATCCCTCTTTTTGGATAATGGCTAATGTTATTGTGTTACATTTGATATAAGAAAAGCAGAAACTAGGTCTAAAGGAAAAAAGGAAGGTTGAAAAGGGGAAAATTTACACTTTTGAAATGAAAAATAATTCTTAGGGCTTTCCAATGACAAACCATTGTTTTTTACTCTCAGTCATGGATAGAAAGGCAAGAAACATTAAACCTAGAGGGCAAAAGAGGGATGACCTTTCTTTTTATATATCAGCATATCTAGAAGTAGTCTTTCACTATGGATTCATACTTAGGAGTGAGTCCGAATCACTAATACGGTGATTGAAAGTTAAGTGTTTGTGTGTAAAGACATGATGAACAATGGCTTTCACTGCAGGATTACTGGGCAGTAACATGGCTATGTCATCAGAGGACCTCCAAATGTTGGCAGCTATAGTCTTTTACTTGGAGCTGATTAGTTTCCCCAGAATGATATACTTCAACCTTCTCCTTTGGGAGGGAGTGGTATGAAAAAGCCTGACTGCCCATGTTGAGTCAAGTGAAAGGAAGAATTCAGGGGAGGGTCTCTTTATTTGTTATATAGATTTTCACTTAAACATGTCTTCAGTGTGACCCCTAGATCCTGGCATATAATAAGAAAGCATTAAACATGAGGAATTAATGATTTTATTAACTGTACTCTTAACATTCAACACCCATTCCTCATTGTAACTAATTTATTATCACTTCTCCTGCCCAAAAAGCCTTTACTTTCTTGTTTTGTCCATCTAACTCTTGACCATACTTTACAGCCCCACTCAAAATATACTATCTCCACAACATTCCTAACTCTCCAGTTTTCCTGATCTCCCACAATATTTACTGTACTGTTTTAACTTCTAATTTCAGCACATAAAAGCAGTGCTTTATATTGTTTATCTATTGTCTCATGTGGGCATATGTGTATCTCCAGAGTTATCATTTCTCATCTGGGAGGAAAGGGAAAGAAATTTTGATGCCTTTTTTGGTTGTCTAGCTAATTCTTATTGAGTTTATGCCAAGCTGACTCGCAATATTAACATAGTTAATCCTCCTAACGAGCCTATGAGGTGGATAATAGAATATCTATTTCAAAAGAAGTTCAGAGTGCTGAAATAATTTGCCCCAAGTAACACATAAACTAGAACCCCAGAGTCCAAGCTCTTAATCTCTACTGCCCTAGGAAGTTGTCTGATGTAGTAGAAATGATAATGGTTAAACACTCAGAAAATACTGAGTTTGAATACCAGCTTTCTACTTACTATCTATGTGATATCAGGAGAAGCCCTCTCACTTGGCCCCTTTCTAATTCTCAATACCACTGACATTGTGATCTTTCAAATACAGACAGGCATCGCTTAACAACGGGGGTACATTCTGAGAAATGTGTCATTAGACAACTTCATCCTTATGCAAACATCATAGAGTATACTTACACACCTAGATCGTACAGCCTACTACACACCTAGTGTATATAGTACTAATCTTATGGGACCACCATCATACATGCAGTTCCTCATTAACCAAAACGTAGTTATGTAGTACATGACTGTACAAAAAATTCTGATCAAATACTTCAATTCCTCCCAGACATTTGACATAATGATCCTTAATGATTTGATCCACCTACCAATCTAGTCTCATCATCTGTCACTCTCACACATGCTCTAACTATAGTGTTTTTACTTTCTGGTATTCATCAAATTTTTTATGTCTCCCTGCACATGCTGATCTTTTTATCCAGAACTCCCCTCCCACCACCTATACTTTTGCTCTAATTCCTGCTCTTTCTTCAGGATTCAATTCTAACATCATCTGTTCTAGGCTCCTTATCCGTATTCTCATAGCATCTATAATAAAATAGTTATTCTTATAATAACAGCTAACATTTAATGAGTGCTTACCATGCTTAGAACCATCACTGTTCTAATTACTTTACATGTATTTAATCACTTATTCCTTGTTAGAACTCTATGAGGTAGAAGCTATTATTATCCCCATTTTATGAATGAGGAAATGGGGCATAAAACTGCACTGTCCCATATAGTAACCTCTAGCCACATGTGGCTACTGAGCATTAGAAATATGTCTAGTCCAAATTGAGCTATGCTGTTAAGTGTAAAATATATATCAGAGTTTGAAGATGCAGTACAAAAAAAACGTACAATATCTCATCAATAAATTTTTAAATTGACTACATGTTAAGATGATGTTTTAGGTATATGGGATTAAATAAACGATTATTAAAATTAATTTTACCTGTTTCTCATTACTTGTTTTTTTTGGTGAGGAAGATTAGCCCTGAGCTAACATCTGTTGCCAATCCTCCTCTTTATGCTGAGGAAAATTGGCTCTGAGCTAACATCCATGCCCATCTTCCTCTACTTTATATGTGGGATGCCTGCCACTGCATGGCTTGATGAGCAGTGCGTAGGTCCGCACCTGGGATGTGAACCTGCAAACCCCGGGCTACCGAAGCGGAGTGCGCGAACTTAACCATTACCCCACCAGGCCAGCCCCAGTCTCGTTACTTTTTGTTTGAACTCACAAACATCACACACATTGTCACCAAAACCTCTTATTCTTCTGATTCTTCCAGGTTGTCCATTCCATCACTCTTGTTAGACTTTAGTAGTTTGTAGCTCTACATGTGTCCAAAAAAAAAAAAAAATTTCATAAATCTATATGGTGGAATAATCCACAGTTTAAGAAATACCAGGTTTCTGGTTCTGCATATAAGGAGCTTGCAAGTCACCACTCTATCTTAATAACAAATAAAAAGCTGAATAGACTGAAAAATCAACAACGCTTCTTTGATCCTAAAGAGAAAGGAGAACAAAGGGCAAACCACTGCTCCCAAGATTGGAAAGAGAGATGAATACAGGCAGTCACAGCTTACAGGAGCAGAGAATCACCAGCAGAAAATGCTGCAGGAACCAGTGCTGGGGAGAGGAAAACCTGACATTTAACTGATGAATTGTTGGAGGATCATGTGGACAACTCAGAGAGTAAAACACTCCAGAGGGATGTAGTCATGGGGGGCATCCATAATACTGTGAGATTTACCAGCAAGAGCTCGACTAGATTCACACAGTAAATATCTGAGAAAAATCCTCTTGGGCTTTCAGCAGGGCGAGGGAGAAAGGATCCATTTTGAGATAATTCAGAACACTCTGTTTTTCTTAAGGTGGCCTACCCTCAGGGGAAATTAGTTAAGCAGAGCCTAACCTGCTGGGGTTTTATCAGAGCTTAACTGATCTTGAAAGAAGGGAAATACCCAACTCCAACTGGCTCTAGCATTCCACATGAGAGAAGAGAAATCATCTAGCCCACTCCAGCTATGCTGATGCACCAAAAGGAGAAGAAAAAAACCAAGTAACACTTGTGAAGTTCACAGTCCAGAGGCAAAGGCTCACTAAAAGACTAAGACCTAATTATAGGACTATAGAATGTTTGCCTTTCCCCCACACCTTACCACCACATTACTAAAGGTCTATTTACAGTAGTTCCTTTTACCCAGTAGAACATCATCTATAGCTATCAGGAAAAAATTACCAAAAGGCAAAAAACACAATTTGAAGAGACAGAACAAGCATCAGAACCAGATATAGCAGGGATACTGGATTTACCAGACTGGGAAATTAAAACTACTACGATAAATATGCTAAGGGCTTTACTGGATAAAGTAGACAGCATGCAAAAACAGATGGGCAATGTAAGTAGAGAGATGGAAATCCTAACAAAGAACCCCCCCAAAAAATGCCAGAGATGAAAAAAAATCTAACAGAAATGAAGAACGTCTTTGATGGACTCATTAGTAAATTGGACACAGCTGAGGAAAGAATATCCAAGAGGACATATCAATAGAATTCTCAAAAACTAAAAAGCAAAGAGCATAAAGACTGAAAAAAAAATAGAATATCCAAATACTGTGGGACAAGTGAAAAGTGAACATATGCATAATGGGAATACCATAAGGAGAAGAAAGAGAAAAAGGAACAGAAGAAATATCTGAAACAATGATGCATATTAATGTCAGACACCAAACTACAGATCCAGGAAGCTCAGAAAACACCAAGCCAGATAAATGCCCAAAAAATATAACTAGGCATATCATTTTGAATTACAGAAAATCAAAGGTAAAGAAAAAATCCTGAAAGAAATCAGAGGACAAAAATATCTTTCCTAGAGAGGAATAAAGATAAGAATTACATCCAACTTCTCCTCACAAACCATGCAAGCAAGAAGAGAGTAGAGTGAAACATTTAAAGTATTGTCAGAAAAAAAAGATTAACCTAGAATTCTGTATCCTGTGAAATTATCCCTCAAAAGTGAAGGAGAAATAAAGACTTTCTCAGACAAACAAAAATTGAGGGAATTTATTTCCAGCAGACCTGCCTTGCAAAAAGTATTAAAAGAAGTTCTTTAGAGAGAAAGAAAATAATATAGGTCAGAAACTCAGATTACATAAAGAAAGGAAGAGCATCAAAGAATGAATAAGAAGGTAAAAT